CAAATATTGAAACCTGTCTTCAAATGACTCTTTCAACATTTGAAAAAAAGTGATCTCCAAAATCTGCAGCAAATGCACATCTCTTTGCATCATCATCATCATTATTCAACCATATCTTTGATCATGACCGGAGACTCACAAAGCCTGTGAGCAGTGTGCATAAGAGCATATAAAGGTGAAGAAAACTCGACCCCAGGAGTCGCAAAATAGATGGCAAAACAGCTTGTCGTTTCTGCATGTAGTGCTGCTTAGGGTTCATGGGATGGTGAAGAACAAAAAATTTGCCACATTACCATTTAGGTTTCACTTGATTATATGGGAATGCTTTTGGATGCAAGTGAATTCGTGTTCCCATTGATTAACTTCAATGTAAGGTTAAGGATGTCAAACACAGGTCGTTGACATTTTATTCTTATTATCAAATATTGGAACTCGAAGAATAGTCAATCTTGCTGAGTTTGGAGAAACAAAAGAAAGCAAAGAAGGAAATGGCGATTTTCAGTGCAGTGTTTAGGAGGCGACTTGGTTGTTATGCCAAGCAACAACGTCTTTGTAAGGTAGATTTCCCCCAAAAATGTCTAAGGCACTTCCCACTGTTACATCCACACGTCCCTTTCCTGCTTCCTTGATCCTCTCTACATCATCCATCACCGTCACTCCTCCCGCATATGTTACAGGAATCTGTCGAGGCCAGAAACAAAAAACACTGAGATACAAAATTCTGCAGCTAAAATTATCAAATTCGCAATCAAGACTAGAACTTTCTAGCAATTCCACGGATACAATCGAGCTTTCTCAACGAACCCAAGGGTATATAGCATCAGTTCATCATATTTTCAGAAATAACCACTCTATCTCTATGTCTCCAATGAAATACATTCAATTCAGTTCCAGTTCTATGTTCTATCCCTGGTTCATTAACATCTGAAGCATCACAAGTTGCTGAATTGAGTAGAGTTTTGTTGATTATCGCAAGTTAGTAAGATTAGACCGAAGTGGTATGCAAAGTAAAGCACTTTGATGTAAAAAAAGAAAACATTCTTGAGCCTAAATGATACTCAACCAAGAAAATGCGTATGTTACTCACCGGAGAATAGTTGCCAAGTAATGCTACAAGTTCTTCATCGATCCCTAGCCTTCGGGAGAAGAAGACGACAATTGATCAGTACATACTGACCAAATACACTGTTATTTCAATGCAAAACAAATCCACTCTAAGACGCTAAAAGAACATCATTGAGATATCTATGCTTACTTCTTTCCTTCAACATCAACGCCGTGGACAAGAAACTCATCCGCAAATCCTCCAAGAAACTCCAATGATTTCTCATCAAGGACAACGTCGCTGAACTTCTGCCACCTATCAGTAACGATTGCATATCTTCCATCCTGTACAGCAAAATACCCATATATATGTTAATCATTCTAATTGATAAAATCATTCTAAATGACGATGAAACTGGTCGGAGAGAATCACCTTCTTTCTGCAGCTAAGGTCCAATATAAGTCTTTCTTTCCCAACAATCTTCACAAGATCTTTGAGTCTTTCCAGATCAATCTTTCCATTGTTAAACACATACTGAAAATATCAACAAAAACATGATTACAACTAGCGAAAGCCCTATGACAACATACTCAAAGAGCTGAATAAATCGCTATACCGAAGTGACAATGACATGGCTCGCTCCCTCTTCTATATAACTCAAGCAATTCTCTGAATTGATTCCACCTCCAACTTGCAAACCGCCTAGAATTCATCGTCTTGTATCATATACGACACAGGGATTATTACATGAAAAACTTCACATTTCAATCAAACAGTAATCAATCAAAAACCATTCACATTCACCCAAAGACATACCGGGATAAGCATGTAATGCTCCAATAGCTGCAGCTTGGCTTAAAGGGTCTGCTCCAAGCATTATTACATGACCACCCGTAAGCCCATCTTCTCTGTACATCTTTGCATACTCTTCTGCAGATTTGTCCGATTCGAAATTCGTAACGAGAACCGATCCATCTTCTTTCAAGTCACTAAGTGTGGATCCAACTATTTGTTTCACTTTTCCCTTCAAAAACATATGATCCAACAAGTTAGAGTTCTATAAAAGGATTCAGATTTCAAAATCGGTGAACTGATTAGTACCTTGTGAATGTCTATACAAGGTCGGAATTGAACAGCTGATACGACTTGAACCCTCGACGATCCTACAAGAAATACTCAAAATGATTCACTAAAGAAATTTGATAAATTGAGTAAAAAGACAAGACCAGAAAATTGATCCCGGCATACGTTTTGTCGGGGTAGTGAACGATGGTCTGGAGAATTTGAGAAGCTTGTTCTTCTGGAACCAAACAATACCACCATTAGAGTATAATCGGGAGCTGCAAGTTGTCATCTTTGTGAACTGAAAATTGGATGTATGGCGTTTCTTCTGGTTCTCGATTTCTAGGGTTTATAAACCGGTTTGAATCTCGGTTCAACTCCGGTTAAGATATGATTGGGATTAAAAATTGAAATTCGACAAAAACTTTTCCGATTCCATCGAGAAACAGAGCAGAGTGATGCGATGGAACAAGAAGAACGTTATCAATCTCGTCTCCAAATCCAATCATCTTCCGGCGCCGATTACTCCGCCGTCGCCGGAGATTTACCGATTACCTCATCCTCCACCACAACTTCCGAAGATCTCGATTCCTCCGACTCTTACTCTCTCTCCATCTCCACGACACTCCAATTTCATCAATTTCCTCGAAAACAATCTCCCTCACCACCAAACCCTAACTCCACAATCTCTAATCGGATTCCTCCGTTCCAAGCTCCGTCACCATCCACTCTTCGCTCATTATGACTTCTCCGTCTTCAATTGGGCCGCCACGCTCGACACTTTCCGACACGATCACGAAACTTTCCTATGGATGTCGAGATCACTCGCCGCCACGCACCGATTCGACGATCTTTACCGTCTCCTCTCTTTTATCGCGGCGAATCCGTGTCCTTGTTCCTCAGGTATCTTCTCTTGTCCAGAGCTCGAACCTATTTTCCGATCCGCCATTGATGCGTACTGTAGAGCTGGGAAAATGGAGTATGCTTTGTTAGGGTTTGATACCATGAAGAGATTGATTGATGGTAAACCAAATGTTGGAGTTTACAATATTGTCATGAATGGGTTTGTGAAATCTGGTGATATGGACATGGCTTTAAGGTTTTACCAGAGGATGAGATTGGAAAGAGCAAAGCTTGATGTATGCACATTCAACATTCTTATCAATGGTTATTGCAGGAGTGATAAATTCGATATGGCTTTGGATCTGTTCAGAGAGATGAAGGAGAAAGGTTGTGAACCGAATGTGATTAGCTTCAACACTCTGATTAGAGGGTTCTTGGGGAAGGGTAAAATCGAGGAAGGTGTTAAGATGGCTTACGAGATGATTGAGTTAGGTTGTAGATTCTCGGAAGCTACTTGTGAGATTCTGGTTGATGGGTTGTGTAGAGAAGGTAGGGTAGATGATGCTACGGGATTGGTGATCCATCTTTCGATCAAGAGGGTTTTACCGAACGAGTTTGATTACGGTAGTTTAGTTGAGAAACTCTGCGGAGAAAATAAGGCGGATAGAGCGATGGAGATGGTGGAAGAGCTGTGGAAGAATGGTCAGATCCCATGTTTGATCGCTTGTACTACACTCGTCGAAGGGTTGAGGAAATCAGGAAGAACAGAGAAAGCATCAGAGTTTATGGAGAAGATGATGAACATAGGCATCCTTCCCGATAGCGTGACCTTTAACTTGCTTCTACGGGATCTCTGCGATTCTGGTCATTCAATTGACGCAAACAGATTGAGACTATTGGCATCGAGCAAAGGATATGAACCCGATGAGACAACATACCATGTATTGGTTTCGGGATTCACGAAAGAAGGTAGAAGAAAGGAAGGAGAAGATTTGGTGAACGAGATGTTGGATAAAGACATGTTGCATGATATATTTACATATAATAGATTGATGGATGGCTTTTCCCATGTCAGAAAGTTCTCGAGCTAGCTAGTCAGGTATTGTAATCGGTGAGACCAGTGTGCGGCCACTTCTATTTGTAAACTTGAACAAAGCAATCTACCAACATACAAAACAATTATAATCCAAACTTATATTGATATGTTGAGATCTTTTTGGTACGTTGAGATCCAAGAGTCGATGAAATCAGTTTCTTTTTTTCGTTGCATCACCAGCCACTCCGGGTCTTCGTTTCTACTCCAGCCGAGGTCTTGACTATGTGTACCTGTTCACAATATCGAAGAAATTCAATTCTTACTCGACTTTTTGAGTTATGCTTAATTTTTGTTAAAATTTACCATTAACTGTCTTGATGGCGACTACACTATCTGAAACGTCCTCCAACACTCTGAAATAGATGAAAATACCATG